ATTTGCTGTCATGATTGACCTCGACCTCAATGTAGTTATCCAAGGAGAGAAGCAGGCTTGCTTGCATGAGGCTCAGCCTATCTTGCTCGTAACCAGCTTCGTACAGGACCTATAAACGTGTGAGTGCCGATGAAACCAAAGGACAGTGCCGCGTACGCATCTCACGCACCTTTGCTCGAGCTCGCAGGGTATTCTTGAGGTCTCTCGGGTTACCGCCCAGTTCCGTCAACACCGGATCCTCGACATCGACATACAAGACGCCAGCAAAAAGCACGGCGTGTAGTAGCAGAGCACTAAGCTGCGAGGTCTGACCATTGGAGCTGATAGCAGAGAGAAACCTGCTCAGGTCGAGAAAGGGCAGTTGCGGATGGACCCAGTCGATGTAGGTTTCGAGAAGAAGGCTCAAGACTGTCATATCCGGCAGTGACAATGCTCCCGCCCTGGAGAAATGCTCCCTTTGCGCGGTCGAGAACTTCTCGGCATGCCAAAAGACAAACTCCGGTATCGATAGGTCAACGTGGTTTCCATCTCCACGCTCCTCGAGGATGGATGAACTTCTGTGCCTCGACCCGGTAAAAGAAGATGTGAAATCGTCGGCCATACTGCCCGAATGTGAGGCTTGCTCAACCGGCGTCGCGTCAGTTGGGGTGAACTCTGGTCGTTGCTTTGTTGATCTTTCGTTCGGTGGGTAGATATTTGTGGCAGGTACAATTCCCTTGCGCCTGTAGCAGTCATTAGCATCTCGGATCATTGCTCCCTCGTGTACCCATACTGGTGCTTCTTCTTGTGCAACAGGCAGTTCAAGCCTGCATGAACACAGTTTGTACAGGGCGCCCCGAGAAAGCAGACATCACACCGTACTTTCCGGGACCTGCAAGTAATGCAGGCTTCTTTGGCTCGGAAGTTTGGTTTATGGCACTGTGCCGGAGCAGCGTCGCCGCCGACCATGGTAGACACCATTGAAGCTGTGGGATAACAGGCCAACTACGCTGTACCATGTCGCAGGTTGAAGTGCTTCGGGCGATTCAAAGCCCAAATTGCCATTGACTGCGGTCTCCTTGTAAAAAGGGTCAACGACGGTATAGTGAGTTCACGGATTCGCGTCTGGCACTCTGCTCTAATTAAGCATTGACAATAGGTCTCGTCACTGTGTACAACCTGCGCGTAGTTTGCCATGTCCTGTGCTATGATCCAACCGGACCAGTGCTGGCCTTAATCTGTTCTCCCTGCCGAGACGAACCGAGAACAGCTAGACGCCTATTGCAGGTCATGGCAGACGGAGGTCCCATTGGGAGGTACTGTTATCCCTCACCATCAAACTAAGTTTTGTCAGGACAAGTGTGCACATCGGAGGGATAGCAATCTTTGACTCAGGCGGTGTTGGTTACCATTCCGGCAGCTGGAAACCGGATAGCCGACTGCTTAGCCTAAGGCAGCCTATTCCAAAGTCTTCAAAAGTTCCTAGTCCCTAGTCCCTAGTCCCCATTCTGTTCTCAATGGTGGGTGGGGATCATCACCAGGGACCAGGCTCTACCTAATCCAAGCCTCGTTTCCTCACATCAACGAGTATTTCTCTAGACAGACATCTTAAGTCACTGGACAACAAACCTGGCCTAGGCGATGCAGACCATGGCGCTTCAACATCCAGCATTCTCTCGCATCCCCGCGAGTGTCAAACCAAAGCTGACGCCCAAAGCAGTGGAAACGATCATCAAGGTTTACGACTGGGTGGAGACAGAATGTATTCCAGCAGAATCCGTCATGGAAAACCAGCTCGAAGGCGACCGTTGGGTCGCACAGCCCAAGATGAGAGAATTGAGGAGGCGGGCGCGCGAAGCAAATCTCTTCAACCTGTTTCTCCCCAAAACATTCCAAGAAAGCCCTGGGTTGACCAACTTGGAATATGCCTGTTGCGCCGAGATCATGGGACGATGCTTCTGGGCGGCAGAGGTAACATGACCCTACATGCCTTCATTTTCGCGCAGAGCCTAACTCGAGAGGGCAGACGATGAACTGCCACGCCCCCGAGACCGGAAATATCGAACTGCTCGCCAAATATTGCAACCCCCAACAGAAAGAGAAGTGGCTGAAGCCGCTCCTGGAGGGAACTGCCATGTCTGCCTACAGCATGACAGAACCCGAGGTTGCTTCGTCCGACGCCACGAACATTAGCTGCAGGATGCACAGAGAAGGGGATGAATATGTCATCAACGGGAGAAAGGTCTTTGGAGGCTCCACGATGAATCGAGATCTCACCTTCTTTATTCTGATGGTCTGCTCGGATCCGTCAAATCGCAACGCCTGGAAACGACATTCCATGTTGATTGTTCCTACCAACACCCCGGGAATCAAGCTTGTCAAAAACCTGACAATCATGGGATATGACGACGCCCCTCAAGGACACGCAGAGTATCTCTATACAAACGTTCGAGTCCCCGTGGAGAACCTGATCCTGGGAGAAGGTCGGGCATTCGAGATTGCTCAAGGTCGTCTAGGCCCCGGGAGAATCCATCATTGGTGCGTATGACCACTTTTTCGTCACTCCCTCTCAGGAGCGCTTTTTGTACTGACATCAACGGATTCAACAGCATGCGCTTGATTGGGCAAAGCGAGCGTGCTTATGAAATGGCGCTGATCCGAGCCATCGACCCACGGAAGAAACCCCGCGGGAAACTCATTGGGGAGTTCGACAGTAACATCGAACGGCTTGCACAGATGCGGCTGGACATTGATACCATGCGGCTCATCGTGCTCAATGCCGCCGAGACCATGGATATCCTGGGCAACAAAGCCGGACGTCAGGCCATTGCACATTCCAAGATTGCCATTCCATCCATGGCTGCTAGAGTTATTGACGAAGCGATGCAGATGCATGGCGGGCTGGGGCTTACCCAGGAAAGCTTCATGCCGCATGCTTGGACCTATGCACGCTATGTCCGCCTCGCAGATGGACCAGACGCCGCACACAGGCACCAGGTCGGACGAGATGAGCTGAAACGAGCCGCCGGATTGCGGGCCCGGCACCGCAAATACCAGTTGAGGGCGGGGGAGCTGGCTGCTAAACTATGACCTCCCCGGACGCTGGGCAGTTTGGGCAAGCTGCTGCCATAGCAGCAATTCGAATGGGCAGCGCAGAGATGCCAGTAGGGGGTGCCTGTCTGCCCATTATAGATAGAGTCGCTGCATTGCCGCCCGCCGTTATATGGCAACTCTGGATAGGGTGGTCATGTAACCTGTTTAGAAGGAGCCTTTGGGAGGTGATTCACCCGACGGCTACATAGTATATACCTAGTAAGGGTTCCGGAGGAAGGTCTTCACACGCATATCTCACCCTCGGATTGCCGATGGCCGCCACTTTGCCATGTCTGTTCTAGCTTCTAACCCAGCCCACCGGAGGTCAGATCTGATAGGACCAAAACCCCCCTTGCCTATTTGAATGCCTATGGAGACAGACGACTGAGTTTCCTACATATATATCCATGGTTGTGAGGACTGGCAACCCCCCGAACTGGTTTCTCAATCTTCTCAAGTCTTTTTCTTTTGGTTCTAGCAGTCGAGAATGTCGCAATTGAAGAATTTCGGAGGGCTTTTTCGCCTCGACGGGAAAGTGGCCGTCATTACTGGAGGTAAACGATGTCTTTGATCACACAACAGGGGGAAGAGAACTAAAGAGCCTTTCCCAGGTTCGAGAGGGATCGGCCTCCATACCGCTACAGCCTTTCTGCAAGCCGGCGCAGCACGGGTGATTCTTGTTGCGAGGAAGATGGATGGTCCGCAAGGCCTGTCGTCTGCACTGGAAGCGCTCCATGCCACCATCCCAGACTCCCGAGGCCGCATTGTCGCTATCCCTTGCGATCTGTCCCAATTCTCCGAGGTACAGCGACTCGCGAAGGAGATCGGTGCAATCGCGCCCAAGATTCACATTCTGGTGGCCAATGCCGGCGCGACCTGGGGCGGACCTCTCGACACCACCCCGGACGCATCCATCACCAAGGTGCTAGACCTCAACGTCCGAAGCATCATTAATCTAGCACGTCTGTGAGTGTTGCAGATGCGGGCCGCTTGTTGGCCCCACGCTTGGTTCATTGTGGTGGACTGACGGGTGATTTGCAGATTGTCTCCTCTTCTCATCAAAGGAGGATGCCCAGAGGACCCTGCGCGGATCATCATCGTCGGTGCAATAGCAGGCTTCACCGTCCCTTTCACCGGCGAGAACAGTACCCTTGTGTACTCGGTATCCAAAGCAGCGGCCCATCACCTTGCGCGGAATTTGGCCATGGAGTACGGCCCACGAAACGTCGCTTGCAACTGCGTGGCGCCCGGCTTTTTCCCCACGAAGCTGTCAAATGGGCTCATCGATATAGTCGGGGGCGTGGACGCAATGGCCGCCTCCAATCCCCTGAAGAGGATTGGCAGGCCAGAGGATATCGCAGGAACCATGGTTTTTCTCTGCAGTCAAGCCGGCTCTTTCGTCAACGGAGTCGTTCTCCCCCTGGACGGAGGCAACTTTCTACAGACCGGGTTGTTTACGAAACTATAAAGTCATGTTTGGCTATCTGACAAAACGAGCCTTGCCCCTGGGAGAGTTGAAGTGTAGCTCGAATCTTCCCACTTTATCCCCAAATGACAGAAAGAGACTAAAATCGAATCGAGCCTTGTGGTGATGGGTGATGCAAAGGCTTCTTTCTGGACCAGGAGTTCGGTAGGCATGACTCTCACCAGCATGTCTGCAAAGACGGCGGTGAACATAACTACTGCTTCTGGAAGCCTGTTGCCGCAATGTGTAGGAATGCATCTCAGCCCGTAGGCTATCGATAGCCGAAATTCCCTAGCTTCGCATATGGCTACGCTTCCTTTTCGACGTCTATGGAACATGCTATGAACTGATGAAATTAGAGGTTTTCATCTAGTCAACCACAGAACATCTGGAGCTGGAGTAGGGTCTGACAAAGAATCTCTGAACAAAAGGCAGCACCAGTCGTCTCAGCGGTTTTTCCAGCATGGGGCGTCACGCTCTTGTCATGGGCGCATCAGGCATCACTGGCTGGGCGATTGTGAACCAGATTCTACGTGGCTACCCCCGGAAAGGAATCTTCTCCAAGGTCACCGCCGTGACCAACAGACCGCTCGCCCAGGAGCATACCCTGTGGCCGCAATCTGACGCCCTGCAGGTGTGTAGCGGGCTGAATCTCCTCGAGGGAACTCAAGGAGACTTGGAGGCCAAGATGAGACAAAAGGTGCGTGACATCAACAATGTCACCGACCTGTATTTCTACGGTAAGAGCCGTGGTCGCGCTCCGCCTCGGGGATACACACTGAACAGGATGACGGAAAAGCATACAAGCACTCCAGCATTCCAGAGGAAGAGAGCTCGGTGAACACGCAGATGCTGGAGCGAACCATCCGCGCCGTCGACCGGCTCTCCAGCAACCTATCCTTTGTGGTCTTACCCAGTGGAACGAAAGTGAGTCGACGCCGTACCTTCTCCCGTCAATTCAAACACACGGTCCTCACCATGGGATCTAGGCGTACGGGGTTCATCTAGGAAAAGATCTCTTTCCGTTCCAAAATCAATTACCTTTGACAGAAAGCCTGCCCCGAATCCCCGAGCCTCATGCCTCCAGGATGTTTTATTATCAACAAATCGATTCCCTTCGAAGACTTTCGCGAGGCCGCTCTTGGCAATGGGTCGATCTGCGGCCGGATGTGATTGTGAGTTACAGGCATTCGTCGCCTGATTCATATCAATCGCAATGAAAAATCCACAGCTAATTAGGACCAGCCAGGCTTTGTGCCAAACAGCAATACCTACTGTTTGGCTCAGACGCTGGCCGTATACCTGAGTCTCTTTGCTGCGGTTGAAGGGAAGGGCACGACCTGTCCGTTCCCCGGCTCGACCGAAGCGTGGCACACTCTATCCAACGACAGTCCTCAGGACGCGGTTGCGCAATTTAGTATTTTCGCTTCTCTGAACCCGGAGAAGACGGCGGGGCAGTCCTTCAACGTCGCGGGGAGCGACCAGGCTGTGTCATGGTCCGAACGCTGGCCCATCATCTGCCAATTCTTCGGGCTCGAGGGGACCGAGCCGGTCGAGTCAAGCCTGGCTCCTGCCGATTACATGAGATCACACCTCGCCACGTGGTCGGAGCTGGTGCGGACACACGGACTCGAGACGAATTTGATCAGGGACGAACTGGCCGAAGGCAAGGCCGGCTATCAAAAGCATATCATGTCCGAGCTCTGCTTCGACCGATCTTTAGATCTCGGGAGAATGAGGCAGGCGGGCTTCCAAGAGGTTTCGGACTCGAAAAGAGCTTGGTGGACGGCATTTGAGAGGTTTCGGGAGGCCAAAGCGATTCCATGAGTCAGTGGTATGGAATAACTGACGAGAAAAGGTTGTGCAATGAACCTCTACCATTTTTAGCTAGCATCTACGAGTTCTTGTCCTCCCGGTTTGCTAATAGCGGAGAGCATTCCGTATGTAGACAGGTGCTGGAACTTCAACCAATCAATCCATCCCAGACCATGTTCATCCAATAAGCTCCGTCTTTGCCTGTCTCTCTTGCGTCCTGGACCCGGAACGGTGGGGGGGAGCAACAAGCCAGTAGTAGAGAGGAGGGACCGGCAACAGCCTAACTTCAGGCTATCATTCGGCACCTCGCGACAAAATACGGAAGCTCCTTAGGCTCGAGTGACAATTTCAGATTTTGGCGAGCATTCGCTGGCTCGTTTGACGCTGCTGAGCCTCTCGACGAGCCCATTCGCGGAGCACTTTTCTCTGAATCTTTCCACTTGCAAGCTTGGGAATCTGATCGACAATCGACACCCCACCTCTGAGATGTTTGTGTTTCGCGACCTGAGTCGCAAGCCAGCTGGCGATCTCGGATGGAGTCGTCGTCGTTTGCTTGCTCTTGTCCTTGAGAACAACATACGCCATCGGCCACTCGTTGTCATCCCTAATGAAGAACGGGTTAGTTGGATGCTCTCTCTCTCTCTCTCTCTCTCACATTGCCCCCGGATGAAGACCTCGTACAGATTGATGCCCACAACCCCGACGTCGGCCACGTGTTCATTTTCCAGCAGCTTCGCCTCGAGCTCGGCGGGTGCGACCTGGAGCCCATTCACCTTGATCAACTCCTGCAGCAAAGTTAGTCGATGCGACTGGAAGTCGAAACCCAGGTGTAACGCCCTTTACCTTCTTTCTGTCCACGATCCAAAAGAGCCCCTCGGAGTTCGTGACGGCAACGTCGCCCGTCTTCAGCCAGCCTTGGTCGTCGAACAAGTCTTTGGTCGCCCCGGGATTTCTCCAGTATCCCAGGCAAACATTGGGTCCCTTGATCAGGATCTCGCCCCGTTCTCCCGTCGCGACCTCGTACCCAGCCTCATCGACCAATTTTGCCTCCATGCCTGGGAGCAAAAACCCCACGCTTCCCGTGTTTTCGACCATGCCCCCGGGGATCGATGTCCCCGTGCACGTCAGCTCCGTCATTCCCCAGCCAATCGTAAATTTGAATCCGAACCGTTGAGAGATTCGTGTCTGGAGCTCGAGTGGGATCGGGGCCGCCCCGCAGACCACTTCTCGCACACTGCTCAAGTCATATTCTTGCACCTCTGGTCTCTTGTCCAGCATTACCAAGATCGGCGGGGCAATCTGGAGATTCGAGATTTTGAACCGCTGAATCGCGCCCAGGAACTTTCTCAGTTCGAAGCTCTCCATGACGTAAACGGGGATGCGTAATTTGCAAGCCATGAGAATGGTGTAGAGCTGTCCATAGGCGTGGTATAGGGGCAGAAATCCCAGCCAGCGCTCCGTGGCCCTCTTCGTGGGCGTCAGGTGATAGCGAATAAAGATTGTCTGCCGGATGTTGGCGATGATGTTGCCGTGCGTTACCATGACTCCCTTGGGGAGCCCGGTTGTTCTGTCGTATAACTGTAAGTCTGGTGGACATAAATCGTACGCACGCGATCATGAATCAACAAAAGGACCTAAAAGACGTATTTTTGACTTACCCGGATGAATAGTTGATCGTGGCAACTCGACTTTCTGCTTCATTCGGACCGTAGTTGTCCCATGACCACGAACTGGCTTTGGCAGGGCTCTCCAGATAACTCCACCAGTCCCGGTAGCCTTGTGTCCGCGCCTCGACTGGGCCATCCGGGAACAAGACGAGTCTCGGTTCCAAACGTCCGGTCTGACTCGCTGCCTCTCGGGCGGTGCTCAAAAGCCGAGGGTGGACAAATATCACTTTGGCCTCCGAGTCCCGCAGCAGATGGACCAGTTCTCCCACCGTGTATGCGGGATTGAATCCGGTGAAGATGGCCCCGAAGCCGACAGTGGCCAGGTAAATCACCGGGACGTAGATGTGGTTGGGAGTGAAGACCGACACGACGTCGCTGGGCTTGATCCCCAGGGCCGAAAATCCTGCGGCCACCCTCTTGACCAACGACAGCAGCTGACTCGTCGATAGACTAGATGTCTCATTGTCGGAAGAGATCCACAAGGGGACGGTATCGTCATTCGTCCCTGTGGGAAACAGGTAGGATAGGATGTTGGTTTTGGGAATATCCAGAGCTGGAAAAGGGGATTCCCGAGGCATGTTTGGAGCGTCGAGTGAGGCTCCCAAACCAGTCCACGGCGTGAGATATTCACATACGAAGAGCCCACATGGGTTATACAGCGACAAGCTGCGAGTGAGGAGTTAGCTAAAGAACATTGGACAGCTGGAAACCATCTTGGAGATGCGGTTACTTGGAGGTGGTGGTCTTATTTTCAAACTCCCCTTCAAAGCTCTCAAGTGATTCGATCGACGCCACGGAAGTACGCCTGCTTAACAGAAGTCCACGCCCCCTTCCCCCCGGATTAGAGTGCCGGTTGTTGGTGATCTACGCGGAAGAACAGCCTTGCGCGCGGCTAATGGATGGCTGGAGGTGGCATGCCCTAATGGATCCCCGGTTATGACATATCCAAGCCTCGTGGCTTTGACCCCTCGCGTGCCGCATATGTGCCTCTTAGGCACCTCACGCTCATTAGATGGAAACCCATGATCCGATATTGCCGTGTATGTCAGACCAAGCGGGGAGGGACATGACCCATCCCCGCCACGGCGATGGGAGGTACCCAGCACGACTTAGACACATTGACCTCCCAGCCAGACAAGAGCAGAGGTAACAAAGTGGCTGCCAGCAGAGTCCTCGAAATTCACGTTCCAACGATCCAAGATGGGTGAGAGAGAATATGCACCAGAGTGGCTTGAGGTTCGCCCCCCTTCCCTGTGGTCAGAAGCGTTGGATAATAGCTCACGGCTAGCAGTTCGAGGCCCAGTTAGGATATCGCCCGCAGCTTCACAGTCCATTGTCGCGCACGCTGGAGGAATGGGGATCGCTTTTGAATGATCTATCGGCTCGGTTTTCCTTGCCCCAGGCAGACACCACCTCCATCAGGTCCGTGGATATGGAGATCGCTCCAGAAAAGATCCCGATCCGTATCTACTTCCCAGAAGACACACATGTCCAACGCAACGTTCCCCTGGCGGTCTATGTCCATGGAGGGGGCTGGGCCATGGGGGATCTTGACTCCGAGGACTTTCAACCTCGGACAATAGCCAAAGAAGCTAGAATGGTCGTTGTCTCTGTCGATTATCGTCTCGCTCCAGGTCATCCATTCCCCGACGGATTGAACGATTGTGTACGGGCAATTTCGTGGACAAGCTCGAATTCTACGAAGCTGGGAGCGACGACGCAAGAAGTCATCGTGATAGGGGGCTCTGCGGGCGCCAATCTCGCCATTGCCTCGGCCTTGAAGATCATCGATCAAGGTCAGAAATCGATTCTGAAGGGTGTTGCGGCGCTGGTGCCTGTGACGGTCCATCCTGACGCCGTACCATTGAAATTCCGGAATCGGTACAGATCCTACGACGAAGAAGCTGACTGTCCGATCGACACAGCGGATGCTATGCGTGGCCGAGGCGGCTTTTGGGGTATGTTATCCCCCTGGTGAGATCACAAGTTGCCATGTAGCTAACATCCCGTGTGCAGACGCTTACACCAACGAAATTTCCAGTCACACCTCGGTCTTGTTGCATCCCAGGCTGCACGAAATGCCCCCAACATACATTGCCGTGGCGGAAAAGGATGTCCTTCGTGACGATGGGTTACTCCTGAAACACGTTCTGGAAGAATACGGGTAAGAGAGAGTGGCATATCCAGAGCACTCGAGAAGATCTAACACACGAATGTGGGTGGCAGCGTGCCGGTAAAGTGCGACAGCTACAGAGGACTGCCTCACTACTTCTGGTCCTTCCCCGGGCCCTCTTTGGCGAACAAAGCACGGGAGTTCCAGGAGAATCTGTTGAAAGGGCTGGAATTTGTCAACGTATAAGTATTAGGTCCGCGAAAAGATATATCCCGATAACTTCATTGAGAAATCTAGGCCGAATTGTATTGTTTACTTTCGGCAGGACATTGGACATCTTAAAGGGCAAGGCTCATCGTTACACTGTGCGGACCACAGTTGGAATCAGAGAGCTGGACTTCAAAGCTTGCAGAATCGATTGTTTGATTCCCCGGAACTTCTTCCTCCAGTGGTTTTATGTATAAAATGATTTTCACACGGCAATGAAGTGCCAGTGAGTCAACACTCCCTAAGAATTTCCATGTGGCAGTGGAAGTGACTGAGAAGCAAATACCCCTCAGAGGGTTAGAAGCCGATTAATCTATAGTCCATGGACAATCAGCATCCCTGATGTAAGGGCTCAACCCGTCAATATCACCAGTCAGCATTGCTTTGACGTTCCCATTGCCCAAGAATGCAAATCGATTGCCGGATTTGTATTCAAAGTCGTAGTCTTCCATGCGTGGTTCCTTGATTGTCTTGAGGAAATGAATGGTCTGTCAAAGACGTCAATCAGCTCAGGATCTTCCTGGATATCAAGAGACAAACTCACGGGTCCCGGCCATAGATAGATTCGGTTCTTAATCTTGCCGTCCTTGAACCAACTTCGGCAGTCCTCGTGCCAGACTGTGCCTTTATGAAACTCGTCAAAATGCTGATAGATATCGTCCAGAGCTTGCTGTTTCACAGTCGCCGACAGGATACCCTCCGTCTGGATTTTCTTGATCATCTTGATCGAGTACTCCACTGTGGTCTCGATCCCTGGGAGGAGAGTGCCGTTGCTCCATGTGGCGCCAGGTCCCTGGAGATAACATGTCAGATCATCATCACTCAGAACCAGATGAAGCGTGGGCCAATGAGACCTACCACGATCGTAAAGTAATTGGGAAACCTTGGTGCAGAGACTCCAAGATACATATTGCAGCCAGAACCCCAATCTTCGTCAATGCTTTTAGTCCCATTGAAGACCTAGTAGTCCACTCGTTAGCTTCGAGAGTATGGGGCTGGCGAGACTGACTTGCCTTGAACGCCGGCTTGAACGCCGGCTGGAAACCTGTCGCACAAACAAGGATGTCCAGCCTATGTTCGCACCCATCAACGACCACTCCTTCGGCGGTGACCCGGTCGACTTCCCCAAAGACCGGAGTGACATTTTCCGACACCAATGCTTCCAGGTACCCATCAGCAGGCGATACCCGTCTGCATCCAACGGACCATTTCGGGATGATGAACTCCTTGAGCTTCTCGTTGCCTGGTCCCAGCCGCCGAATCATTTCCTTGGTGATGACGTCTCGAAACTGTTTCTGCAAGTCCGAACCCTGGATATACATGCCGAACAAGACGTTGATCTCAGCTTCGATCTCCTTGCGGAATCGGAGATAGTATTGGGGGTCTTCTCGGAACCGCTTTTTGTCCTCGTCGGTGAATGTATATTGGCGCTTACCAGGATCCGGAGCATCCCCTCCTCTCAGGGCTGATAGGGCGGCTTCGTGGAGGAGCGATGTTAGCATGAGAAGCTCTCCCAGTACAACATGTAGACTCACAAGCTCCGAATGGCGGGCTGATCCAAGTTGGGCTTCTCATAAAGACATCCACGTGTCCCGCAACCTTTTGAAGCTCCGGAATGATTTGTACGGATGTACTCCCAGTGCCGATAACACCGACTTTCTTGCCTTTGAAGTCGACCTCGTGATTCCACTTTGCCGAATGCATCATGGGACCCTTGAAGTCATGAAGCCCTGGGATATCAGGCCATTTCCACGTGTTCAGGATTCCAGTTCCATTGATAAAGACATGCGCCCAATCGTGCCATATTTCGTTCGTAGTCATATCTTGGAGGGTGCTGTCGCGCAACGCTTTAGTACCATCTTCATGGATCGCTGGGCCAATATGGCTCACATGTTCCAGATACCTTGACTTTGGTCCCAGTTAATCTCCACCACTTTCGTCCTCAATTTCATGTACTTGTGTAGATCTGAAATGTAGTAGTGTCAGTCCCAGTTTCAATGACGATATCCTCAGCATCAATCACCGTAGCGTTGGGCGAATCCCTCGAAATATCGCTGAATCTCATTGCCGTAGGCAAAATAGTGCGACCATTCCGGGTTGGGATCCCAGGAGAATGTGTAGAGATGGGATGGGATATCGCAGGCCACGCCCGGGTAGGTGTTTTCCCACCACGTCCCCCCAAACTGTTCATTCTTTTCGAACAGAGTCAATTCCCATGAATTGGGCTCCAACATCCGCTCCATCTTGTACGCACAGCACAAGCCTGTGGCCCCGGCTCCGGCACATGCCACTCTTATCTTGCTCGGCTGAGAATGGTATTGATCCAGGACTGTGTATGGCATGGTGGGAGAGTCGAGATTGCCATGACCCGTAAAATTCGCCATTGTTGAAGTTTGGTGCGACCTTTATAGTTCCCCCTTACGTTTGATCCTCGTCTTCCCACCACTTTGACTCTGCACAGTTGTTCGGAGCTTCTGGCAGAAACCTACTCTCTCTGCCTCTTCAAGTCGTCGACACATGGTTAAAGAGTCGAAATCCTGACAGGGAGTCACTTGGTGGAAATTCTAAGCAGCGGGGACACCATGCAATTTTGCTTTGCCTAAACTTAGCCGATGCGGCAACACGGCTCCTGATGCATGCCAGACAGGAACAGCTACATGTCCGGCAATGCCTGTAGGACCAGCGGCGCCTAGTGAAATCAGGGGATGGACTCCAATCTGCCTAACTAGTCATTGGACGGATCATTCAGCGAGTAGCTCCGCGATCATATGCACGACTGGCGAACTGAATAGTACAGCGGACGGACAACCTGAATCTGCGGACTGAGCAAGGCTCTGGTAGCGAATACTCAAATGCTCCTCGATATCTTAGGCTCACTTGCTCTCACTAAGACAGCAATTCCATGCTCAACACATACTCAGTTAGCCAGAAGCTTTTGGAACGCTACAAACCGAGTTCGTTGCCGCAACATGGCACCAATGCATTTCCCAAACACCACAACACCGAACACGCAGGCTTCTATAACATATATTCGTTGAGACACTTCCGAGCCACAGCCCTTGCCCTGGTCCAGCGCATTGCGTGAACGCGAAAGGATGCTCATCGGGGACATTATTCCACCGTGCTAGGGTTTCTCACGGTTGTACTTCAACCCCTCTGATACCCCACAAAGGAGGACAATGCAAGAAGAAAGAATTTTGAGATACTGATGAGCACTTTACCATGGCCAAACAGGCATGTGCCCCTCGTCCACTGGACGTGTTCGGATATGGACCCTCGACGTTTCGGAGCTTTGCTGCCCTGAAACTCTCCGTTTGAACCTACCTTCTCCTGGCTAGCGTAGAATCTGCAAAGAGGTTAGACGGGTTGTATTAGTATATCGCGAATGATTCAGTGAGAATGCTGTGGCCCACTCGCTCCTGTCTGGGGCATCCGCTACCTTATGCCCTATACTGGGTGCAGAATCCGCCTGGTAAATTCGCATTTTCTCCATCGCTCGTTTTTTTTTATCAAAAGCTACACTGCAGAGGATGAATACTCACAAGGACTTATCCCAGAGATCGCGGCCACGACATCGGGCCACTGTGGCTTGCAACAGCTGCAGAGCACGGCGAACCAAGGTAGGACCATTTGGAAATCTCTCGAGCTCGCTACTAAGTGGTTTTTTTGTTTCCCTTAGTGTGTCTTTGAACCAGGCGAGAGCGATTGTACTTATTGCAGGGAGAACGAATTCCCCTGCCTCGTCAGTACGGACGACCGAAGAAAAAAGTACAAGCGGGCAATGCATAGTTCCCCCCGTCACAGAAGCTGGTTGCATGACTGACAGGCCCCCCAGGCAAATATCCAGGACTTGCATCGAGTCTTTGCAACGACGCATTCAAGTCTTGGAGTGCGCCCTCTCAAAGACATCCGCTCTCCCCTCGGCAGTCGCCCACCACGTTGACCCTCAAGATGGCAGCGCCGCGAAGAGCCTCCCGGATTCTTCCAACGATAAAATGGCCGCCTTTGCAAACACCGAGTACATGCCGGTCGAACAGTACCCACCTGACAACGATCCCCTGAGTCCTCAGAGGAACGCATTGCCTATGCCCCCAGGGTCCGGCGGCGCTCGTCGTCAAGCGTCTGGCCATGCCACGCGCAATCTCGGGCAGGCTTCGCCCCTGCAAGTACTTTCCGATCAGGATTTCCCCAGGTTCGATGATGTTATGTGGGAAATCCGAACTCGAGCCGAGCTGCTCCTCCAGAGAATACCTCCGGCAAGTCAGACCTACTTGATGGACCTGTACTGGGAACATTACAACCAGATTCTTCGCATTGTCCACAAAGAATCCTTCTATCAGGGCGCGAGCAATCCCGGGTCGTCATCCTACAGTGGCTTCTTGCATGTCTGCCTGCTGGCCATGGGCTTTACCTTTGCCGACAAGTCGAGGCCCGATATGCAGAGGTTTCTGGCATCGACACGTGAGGGTGAAAGCACCCTCCACACGGAAGCCCGGAGGCTAGTCAAATATGAGATGGATATCCCCGGCGGTCTGTCCAGCATTCAAGCTCTGCTGATTCTGGCGGATCTGGAAAGTGGCGTTGGCAGGGACGTTACAGGCTGGATGTATGTAGGTGAGTGGAGAGAGTAGATCCAGTTCCCGGGTCATTGTCCTCATACCCAGACACTTGCCTTCAATGCACCTTTGTTGTCCGGCACTGGGTCGACCGTTGACTGAGTCTGCGTCGACAACGCGTGCAGGGATCGCAATTAGATCCGCCTTTGAACTGGGCTTGAACGAAGAGAGCTCCGAGGCAATGTCTGAACAGCATCGCTTCGAGAGACGCATGGTGTTTTGTGCGTGCTTTCTTTTTGATCGGTAAGCAAACCTTTCTCGCACGAGGTCCACTCTTGATGACGCTACGGACACCAGATTTTGGGCCGTGTATCTTGGACGGTCACCATCAATCAAGCCATCCGACATTGGATACACTCAATTGACCCCAACATCAGCTCCCGGCAGCGGTTACAACAGTCAAACGTCGGCCCAGGAGGTGCAAATCTATGAGAGCTTGGTCCAGCTGGTGGCCGTCTATGGAGAAATCTCAACCCTCCTCCGTTCCAATCGATCGTCTTCTGAGCCTGACATGCTGAAAATGGCGGACCTGGCCAAAAGACTCCGGATGTGGCGTGAAAACTTACCCCCGAGCTTGAACTGGACGCCAGAGAACTGTCAACGGGCAACCCCGGGCTTCTTTCTTCTCCAGTAAGTAGATTTGTGTCTCCTGTCCTTTGCAGCGCCGGCCTAACAATCGCTGTTCGATAGTCAGCAGTACCATATGGCTGTGATCTTGTTACATCAGCCCCTCGCCCACAGTGACAGCTCGCGGCGCCAGCGGCAGGCGGAGCCCGGCGTGGATCCGGCCTTGGTCGACGATGTCTTTCCCCAGTTATCTGCTAGACTCTGTCAGAAGCACGCCTCTTGTATTGCCAACATCTTCGAGAAGTACTACCACACTCCTGGCCGAATGTATCCGTGCGGCACGGCGCTCCTGACCGCCTCTACCGCCGGGATTGCATTGGTCAACGATCTCACCAGCACTCAACAGAACAAATATGAAAGTCCTAGAGCACTCCGACAGGTGCAAGTTCTGATGAGTGTGCTAGGTTCGATGGGTCACAAATACCGACGGGCTAACCAAATTGCGAAGTCCCTGGGAAACGTGCTGATAGATCGTGGTTGGAATTTCAGCGGCGTCACGAATCTCTCAGGCACGAATTCTCTGTCCCTAGGGCCCATGCTGATGTCTCCTCTCGAAATGGGCCAACCACCTCAGATGGCACCACCGCAGACCCAGAAGCTCATCAATGCCAGCCATAGTTCCTCCATCTTCGACGGCATGACGGAGGAGAACACTCCAGGGATCGGGTACAGCTCGCAGGACCAGCGATCCTCGGGCAGCAATGGGTTTGCCGTCGACCAAAGGGGCTCCACTGATGGAAAGGGTCAGTCGATTCTCCACGATCTCAGTCCAAGCTTGAATGCTTGGATGATGACTGACAGCATGGCGCTCGATACGAACGTGTTCGAAACCGCGACCGAAGACTTTTTCTGAAAAGCGTCTGTCTCCAATGGACCGCAAAGTTCCTGATCCTGAAGGATGGGGAACGTTCAGACCATCCGGGGTGGACCTCTGATCTGGGTGCCGTGCAATGAGTCATTTCCACATTACCACGGTCGACTGAGTCAGTTCTTTCGGGTGTGGTGCCGAACTCGGTGGATCATGGACAAGCTTTCGAAAGTGCTAGTTCGCGGGGAAACGGTTGGCACTTGTGGTGCACAATATTTTATGCGCCGTTCACCCGCACAGATTTTTGGGTGGAAATGAGAGAGCTGGGAGTAATGCGAGATCGACTACTCGGTACAAAGGCGCTGTGGGACAGAACAGGGGTCAATAGATGTAGCGGGGCGGTATGGTATTGTGTAATAACTAGGAAGGAGGCTGGGAGAGTGTCTGACGGCTTTATCTATCAACTATGTGTGCATTATGTGCCTAGGCGTTAATGGCTCAGCAGCGCACATTGCAGGGTGCTACGAGTCACGCTAATAGACTAGTCTCTAATTTAGTACGGCAGTGCTGCCACCTCTTAGCCAGACACCCCGACCTGAACTTTCAAGTAATTTACTTTACCTATTTAGTGAGGTAGAATTACTATCAGAGAAACCGCGCATAGACGACAAAAACTTGTAAGGACCTCAATCATACTCAGGAAATGTATCTAACAGTCTACGCTAATAATCCTGCAATTGGTGCTCAGTAGAGGTACTGTTGGTCTGCCAAGTGATAGTGGCGCTTCCTTACTGGACTGGAACTAGTCCGTCAACGTGACTAGTTACTAAATCTGCTGGTGCGCCCAAGTCAATCTCTGCCGTCGTTGATTCGCGTCCTCGGGGGCCATGTACCCCGGACTCCAGCGGGGGTGGCCAAGTTCAGCAAGCAACTAACGACCGAAGCCCCCAGGTTCCCCAGCTTTGCTTTTCTGCCCCCGGCGGCCATGTCCCTTGCTCCCCATATCGTTGCTGAGTCCTTCCCAGCGACTATCCGCGGGTGTACAGACGTTCGTTGGATGGCCCAGCGTCTCTGCGACACGCGCCCGAGCGAGCAAGTAAAATCCCCGAAAGAGTGAAGAAGTGTGAGTGACGCGACCGCCGAGCAAGCATGACAGACCCAGCAACGCCGGTTCCGGGCGACACAATCGAGGGAGAGACGGCAGCAGAAGCCAGGTCCCTTCGAAGGAAGTGCAAAGCCTCCACAATGGACTCGACGAAACTGATGAGAAAACGCGCGACCGATCGAAGATCTCAACAGGCGTTCCGAGAGAGGACCAAACTGAAGATCGCAGCTCTCGAGGAGGAAGTTGCCAAAATGTCCCAGAACGCGGAAAAGATGAGCCGGGAGCTGCACGAAGTCACCCTTCAGCGAAACAGCCTCAGCACCGAATGCCTGGAGTGGAAAGAGAAGGCTGGCCTGGCCTCCGAGCTGGAGGCTGAGGTCCATGCCATGGCCAGGAGACTCGACCAACTACGAACCAAAAAGCCCTTTTCAGACGCCGGACTATCGTCCATACGACCCGCCTTGCCCACAGGCATTCTGCCAACCATCCACTGTGACATAACCCCGAGGAGGTCTGATCAGGACCAAGATGCGAACGACTACGCCCTTGCCCCGAGCCCAGCAAGGAGCAATACGGGTGCTGCAATGGAGATGCAGTCTTCGCCACCTCTCCCTCAGCCCAGTGGTCTATCGTCGTGCGAAGGACCAACTGAGAGATCGGCGTCGTATGAAGCCACCAGTTTTGCTCCAGGAGCAGCTTGTCTGACGTCGTTTCCGCATCCGCAAAACGAGGACGTGAGAACCGATTTTCTTTCGGAAGGCGTCAGTTTCGACCCGGTTTGTTTCCCAGTCTCAATGGGCCACGCCTCTCCCCGACATGAGGATGCACATACTCTACGGCGGACCAGCCAGGACCCATTGAACGACGAATTATCCGAGCCCGTTACTGCGGACGAAGTGAGCATCGATCTCTCGGCTCACGGGGCAACAGGAGGTACACACACACACACCCCCAAGTGCCGAATCCAATGCTCGTTCGGAACACGAAGCTAACGGCTGCTCTAGATGTTTCGGTTCGCAGTCCTGTACAGGTGCCGGACCCTTCTATCCCCGATGAAATGCAGCTCCAGCCTCTGTCAACCGAGCAGTCCTCCCGCTGGCCGGGTGGGTGGAGTCCAACGTCCAGCAACCAGGTCGACCTCTGTGAGCAGCTTCCGTACAATCTCAAGCCAGTGATACCCTCGGATCGCATCCTGCAGGGCCTTATCGCGTCTCAGCGAGGTGCGGCTGCAGAAGGCATCCCATGGGATGAGCTGCTGGGCCCTGAGCTCCCTTGCTGGGACGTCCTTGTCGGCGCGCCGTCCAGACTGTGTGGCCATCCTATTTGCCGAGCCGTCTTTGATATTGTCAAAGCCTACACCGGCTATTCGCGCCTCCCGGAAAGGGTGGCCTCGGTCTACACCATGTATTCATCAGTGATGGTAGGTCTGTCTGACACCTTTTATTATTCCACGAGACCACCATCTAAATGCGCGTCGTTCAAGTGGCGGCTTAGTCTTCAAAGGAAGAGATTCGAGAAGATGCCCTTGTGGATGCGTCCACGGGCAATCCAACTGCAAGTGGCTCACCCTGCGTGGATGGACCGAGTTCCATGGCAAGTCCCCCTTCATCCTAATCGTGCACTCGGTCCTGGATCTAACTTGCAGCGCGCGTCAGGCCGTCAGTGAGAGAAATCCTGGTCAAGGACCAAGAACTGTATCACGTCGAGGAGTTTGGGGCTTTCCACTCCACCTCCGTCTCCGTCAACTGGCCCTATTCCTCGGATTGTGTGCTCATCACTTCGCGTGGCGGTGCGGCCAAAGAAGACGAGACGGTGCTGAGTCTGAACCCGGCTTTCGAGGAGCACATCCGAGACCTTCGGAACTGGACCATAGGTTCTCGATTCACACAGAAATACCCCGAGCTCGCTGCTGCAATCGAGCAGGATATCGGCGATGGCTCTATCGAAGAATGACCGTGCTCGGCCGCCGACCGTGAACGAAGGGCCTTAAGCAAGACGATATCTCCGGCTCTGATGAATCTGAAAGAAAATGTGAACGTGAAACTGCACCTTTCTACTGTTGAAGTCCAACAGCATTCGACGCTTGCATCTTATTGCTAAGGAGTCGCGAGATATTAGTGCACCTACAGAATCTCCCGATCGTTTCTGTTCGCCATCCAGCGAGAAGGCCGCGGGAACGGTTTTGCAACGGCCATGCTAAACAAAAAGTGGTGCAACGGCCCGTCGGTCGACCATTTGCGAATGCTCTACATCAAACTGTGGAAAGCCAAAAGTGGATGTACGCTGCCTAGTGCTCCGACTTGTTTCCATGATGTCGGTCACATTTTCTGGGACGACAATCTCATATTTTCTCCATGACTTCGAGCTGGCTGAGTTCTCGCCACGGCGTCCCGAGTAAGCGAACCGTCAATCTGACGACCGTGACCCCAATCGACCCTCTGAAGGTTTATCTTGGATCTCATTACACCGAGAGAGGCCCCAACCGTCCTGCTCCCGGGGTCCCTGGGGGACTTGCCTCTGAGGATCAGTTGCAACGCTCCCAACTTGAGGCCGCGCAGGGACGATGGCCAGGACTAGCTACGTTGCAAGAAGAAAGGCGCTTTGAACACACTTCGGCCATCTATAGATCTGAAGCTCAGTGTATAGTGCTCTCTACCACCTCGGCTCGCCGACCTCACAGTCCTTTTTATCTCTGGACACGTTTCAACGTGACGTTCAGTTCCGGCTTCTCCCACGTGTTGTACGCCTTCATGTACTGCATCTCACCTTCAGGTGACCACTGTGGTGCCCCGTCGGAGGACACAATGTCGAAATGCCAGAGGAGTCTGCCTAGGATCAAACGCATCTCCATGTAGGAAAGGCTGGAATTGAGCCCACCCTCGGGTTAGCCTGGGGGAGCCAGATCGGGGTTGGGTTACGGGGGCGAGAGCCTTACTGTTTCCCGATGCATCCACGCGGTCCGGTGGAAAACGGCTGACTCGCCTTCTTATCATCTCCGGTCCACTCTTTGTCGATCCAGCGTTCGGGGACGAATTCGTCGGGGCTCTTGAAATTGGCGGCACTGTGGGTCGCGGCCCACGCGCCGACGCCAACGTGCACGCCGCCCGGGACCCTATCACACATCAAAAGTTAGCCGGGGCACAAGGTCGGCCAGAACAAAGGCCAGGCATTCTGGAAGACTGACCAGTGGCCATCAATGGTATCTCCGTTCTTGGGAACTTGGCGCATCAGCGCTGTGGGAAGCGGTGGATGGATGCGAAGCCCTTCGGACAGACAAGCGGCAAGGTAAGGCAACTTGGCGAGCTCGTCGTTGGTGATGTCGTCCTCGGTTTTGAAGGCATCCCGGATCTCGTTGGCCAGTTTGGTGTATACCCGCGGGCTTTTGAGGAGCCGGGCCGTCAACCCGGATAGTTCATTTGCTGTGGTTTCACTTCCAGCAACGCTTTCCTGGCGTCAGTGCCAGAACCGGAGGGTGGGGGGGAGATTTGAGGAGCTGATCACCTACATAAACAAAGCGCCGTTGACAATGACTTCATTTTGCGAAATCGCCCCTCGCTTCTGCTGATCGAGGATGTACCACGTGAAATCTTTGTGTTGGAGCTTGGTGTTTTCAAGGCGTCTGTGGCCATGGAGGCTACTGTTAGCGGGTTATGACAGGTAATAGTACAGGCCATAACGACATTTGGAGGGGGGGGTTGGACGCCACCTTAGGACTTTGTTTTGACTCCACAAGAGGTGATCGCGACGTCTCGCTCGTTTCTCCTTCGGGATGAAATTGACGAGGAAGTTCTGAATTGTCGACCCAGGCTCGGCGAAGCGCCTCGTCGCCTGCTCCATTGCACCGGCCTTGACAGTCTCGTAGATGAGAGCCACCCATTCGTGGAACTGGCCTGTGGTTGAAGGGACATCAGCAACGTCTTCCGAGCATTTTGAGGCATAGAAGATGGAGCGTTTCCCATACATACCTTTGTCGAGACAGCCAAAGGATTCCCCAAAGGCCAGGTCTCCGATGATGTCAAACGTGGTGAAGTTGTACCAGTTGACGAGATTGAAAGCCTCGCCTCGATCGCACATCTCGCCGAGCTTCTTGATGAATAGATTGACGTAGGCCAGCAAGATGTCCTCCTGTTCCATCAGAGCCTGTTGGCTGAATGCGTGCGACAAAGCACGTCTTTGCCGGGCGTGGGTCTCGTCGTCAGCCATGGTCAGCGTGCTGGCGTTGGGGAGGGGATCGACGGCGCCCACGTGGATGGAGCTCTTGTGAAAGTTTGCATGGCCTGGTCTGTGACCGTAGATGTCGTTCCACGCTCCCGATGTGTTGAATGACAATTCGTTGGGTGAGACTCGCACCACAGGGCCGTAGATATCGTGGAGTTTTTTATTTTCCATGGGCAGTCGGCCTCGGAGGAGGGCAAGAATGCCCGGAATCTGGGGATCGATCCCTCAGCAAAATGCCTTTTGTCATTTCTCTTTTCCCCCAGATGAAGTCGTCGACTTACTGGAGAGATTGCATTGATCTTTGGTCCGGGGAATTTCGCTAACGGATGGAAGTACAGACGGTATACCCCAATGAGAATCGTATAGGTCAATATCTTTTCTTTTGTCAGTCCGACTCTCTAGGATATTCTGCTGCTGCTGCTATATGTTCATACCGCAATCACAGGAAGGCCCACTGCCACCAACACCCTCTCCTGGATTCCTCTGACGGCTAAACTCATGGTCAGTAGATGCAACGAGTGAGCTCAACGACAAAGAAGGAAATCTTGATTGAACACGAGGAACAACTGTTATCAAGTGCTTGGGAGCTGATGGCTGCCGCAGAATCAAGCGTATATCATATTCTATTCTGTTTTCGTCTCTTCTGGTCTTGTCGATTGTCACTGACTCATGTGTAGATCCAGTGCTGGGGTTATTTCCAGCAGGGGAGATGGTGACTACCGCACGCCCCGCCGACTTGCTGAGACTTGAGTCATTGCAGAATCGACAGGAATGTAAATTACTCATGCTATAGACGACAATGGTCGGGCCTACCTGTCTGACTGAGGGTCCAGGTCCCTTCAAATTAGCGAGCAACAGACGATCACAAACGTATGGTCCATCGACATCTTGGAATGACTAGCTTTGCGGGGGGAGGACCCATTTTCCATCAGTACTTAATAAGAGGCATTTCTTTCAGAAGTGGGGAGGGTCATTTCAACCAAAGAAACAGTCATGGTATCCAAATTGGACGTGTCTGGCCCGGGCCTTATGCTGGTGTTTTGTCAGGTTACCAGACCTGATTTAGTGAGCGAAGGTCTCTTTGCCGCATGGTATGAAGAAGAGCACATCCCCGAGGCCACTTCGACCAGCGGCATGCCCGCCGGGTTCCGATATTACTGCCTCGGTCCTCCCAATGGCAGGCCATGGCTAGCTCTCTATCCTTGTCCGGAACTGGACTTTGTGAATAGCGAAGAATACAAATCCATCCGGGTCACCAGTGACATGCTCCCGACTGAGACATCTTTCGACGTGGCCGACTTTGATGTGAGGTACTATTCGAGGTGGCAGATACATGAACCTCCCAACACGAAGGAGGGTGAGTTAAATGCCCAGGAACTTGTGGCTATCGGCGGGTCATGTATTCACAAAGCACAGGACGATCACCTTTCGTTATCGTCTACGCAGTTGACCCACCCGAGGGGGCAGACGAAGAGTTCGACAACTGGTACAAGACTGAACATTTGGAGGAGTTGGCCAAATGCAGTGGTTACCGTCGGACAACGCGGTACAAATGTGTATATGCAAGGCACAACAGAGACGATCGACTAGGAAAGCCTTCTCCTCATCGTCCTCGATGGCTTGCTCTGGACGAATTCGACACTAAGCCCATCCAGGAAGAACTTGATACCGCCAGGGGCACTGCCAAAGCAAAGGCAATCCTCGCCAAATCAAAGGTCGAGGTCGGGTTGTACAAGCTTCAGAAATCCTATGGCAAAGCCAACATGCCGTTCTAGCTAGGCTGTGCCAGAAAAGCGGGAACCAATTGTCATCTTCAAGTGAATTGCCTAGAATTGCGAATAGCGAGAACGTGTAGCAAAGCGTAATGCTATCTGGAAATCTACGAAAGGCAAGCCCCTTTGCGTATTTAGCCAGTCCGTCCACAGCTTGTGGTCGCAGACGATACCAACATCTGAGTCATGGATATACAATCTTTGCAAAGCAGCTTCAACACCCATGAAGTTTATTGACGGATTGGGTATGATAAAGCCATAGAATACCGGTTCCATTCTCAGTGAATGCAAGAAACAGCAACGTAGTCTGAATTGATCCTCGCAAGCAAGTTCGCAGTCAAGAGGGCCAATCGCCCAGTCTGTGGGACCATATCGTAACAAGGTCCTTTGTTGCGAACTGAGTCAGGTTGTTAAACGTATGCGCAATGGGACGGCCAACAACAAACCCTAAACCTGCTTATAACTCCTCTTAGATGACCATAAAGCCATGGAGCCAAAGATCCCTGGACGGTAACGCAGAATCCTTTTATCATCTCAGCGTCGAGGACATTTCCAAAGTATTCACAAGGTTCAAACTTCGTTCTCCTGGTAGCATGGCAGCAACGATGAATGGGTCTCCTCGACGCCCAGTGCGGATTGCAGGAGCTTCAGGAGGTGAGACGTCCTACGGTGGACCTTCTCGAGCTTCATGGCATCGGTTGACGGTATTGAATAGGAGTTTACGACAGGAAGCGAGCTATCCACGATCTAGCCAAGAATGAAGACTTGGACTTTATTGTCGGAGACTGGATGTCCGAGGCGAGCATGACACTCCGAGGCGCTGACAAGTATGGGAAGAATGAAGCGTCACTAGTGGGAAAAGGCTACGAACCCTACTTTCTCGAACAGCTCGAGCCAGCATTGCCATATCTGGAAAAGAAAGGGATCAAGCTCTGTGTCAATGCTGGAGGAAGCGACGTCGAGGGATTAGCGCTGGCTGTCCGAGCCCTCATCAAACGTCTGGGACATAATCTCTCGGTGGGTTATGTCGACGGGGACGATGTCACGGAGACCGTCTTCGATTTGATGAAAAAGAGTACGTCGACAGGCCAGCTTTATTTGAGGCTGGAAAGTCCACGCTCGCTGACGTGCGCGCAGAAGAGAGATTTGTGAACCTCTCCACCGGCACACCCCTGAGTGAATGGGGGCTCGAACCGATATGTGCACAATGCTACCTGGGTGGAAGCGGCATCGCCGCCGTCTTTGGGGCTGGAGCCAACATTGTGATCTGCGGACGAGTGGCCGACGCCTCTGTCTGCGTCGGGCCCGCAATGTACTGGCATGGCTGGACCCGAGACAACATGGACGAGCTCGCCGGCGCCTTGATGGTTGGGCATATCATCGAGTGCAGCACCTACGCGACTGGCGGATACTTTTCTGCGTTCAAACAACTCGGAGTGCACGACACAGATATGGGCTATCCTATCGCCATCATTGACTATCGAGGGGAGGCCATCATCACCATGGAGCAGGGCCGAGATGGTCTGGTCTCGCCCGAGACGGTCATCAGCCAACTGATGTACGAAATCCAGGGGCTTCACTACTACAACTCGGACGTCACGGCCTATCTCCATTCTATGCAGGTGAACAGCATTGGGCAGAATGAGGTCAAGGTCTCAGGCGTCAAAGGTAAGCTCGGTTGCGCGCCCCTTGCTCGTGCTTCTCGCCTTGACAGCTCTCATACGTGGTGAAAATGGCGCGAAGCTGACGGCCTCGACAGGTCTTCCCCCACCGCCCACGACCAGGGTGGGAATCACAGCCAAGGGAGGATATCAGGCAGAGTTCCACTTCTATCTGACGGGACTTGACATCCAAGAGAAGTTTGAAATGGTCAAGAGGCAGACTCTAGCAACCATGGGCGACAATGTCAAGCATTTTTCGTGCCTCACCTTCACCATGGCGGGAGTGGTGGCCGAGAACCCCCAGAGCCAGGATGAGGCCACGGTCGACATGCGCATCTTCGCTCAGTCGCGGACGCCAGAAATTCTCTCGGCAGGAGGCCTGGTCGAGTCAGACCGCGGGTCGTTCGCTCGTTATTGCATCGAAAACCTCCTCCAAGGCTACCCCGGCTCCACCATGGCCATCGACATGAGGCAAGCAACTGGCAAACCATTTTTCGAGTACTTTCCGACGCTGCTCAGTCAAAGCCTCGTCCGAGAGATCGCCCACTTCCCTAACGGCGACGCGCTGAGGATTGAGCCGCCGCGCTTGACAAAAGAATACCCTCCAGGTCAGCAAGCGTCCAGCGACACGGAGAATCCTGCCGATCTGGCTCAGTTTGGGCCCACAAAGCCAGCTCCGTTAGGATTCATAGCATATGGGCGGTCCGGTGACAAGTCTTCCAATTGCAATGTCGGCATCTTCGTTCGGCGCGAAGATGAATGGGACTGGCTGCGCACCGTTCTGACCACGGACAAGATGAAACAACTACTGGCAAAAGACTACAAGGGCGGTCGGATTGAGCGATGCGAGATGCCCGGTCTTCGAGCAGTCCACTTCCACCTCGTGGACCATCTGGAGCGAGGCTACACAGCAACCAGTGGTTACGACTGCCTGGGGAAGAATTGTTGCGAATACATTCGAGCCCGGGTACTGGACATTCCGGTCAGATTCTTAGAGCGAGGTAGAGTTTGATGCTTTCATAACCTTGAGAGTAACAACAACGGCGGTCCGTGAGTTTCCAATTTGGATTCCTAAGCTGTAATCCATTGTGCCCAGACATAGTGTCCTTGGAATATCACTAGATTTCTAGTCGCGACCACCGCAGTCCACTGAGTCAGGTATGCTCTTCAGATGATTTCTGCGAGTCCACTAGTCCATACCTCAACGCGAGGTCGTCTCGCCTTTCCGAGACACTACTTCAAGCTTGAATAATTCCGGCTTCCTCTTGAACACGATATGTAGTCCACTTGGAACTTCCCATGCAGAAGAAGACGCAGCACCAAAGTAACAGGACAACATGTACATCATCACGCTGAGCAGATGGGAGTCGGAAGCCGGCAAGAGTGAAATAGTAGGTTGAATTTCTGTTGAGATGGCTGGTTCTTAATCTCTCGCTGACTGAGATACACAGCTGCTGGAAACGTTGAGAGCATATGTTGAAAGCCTCGACCTCGATGCACTCTCCGACATGGACGTCTTTGTCCTGAAAGGCCAGAAAGCAGATAACCTGCACGTCTTCTACACTCTTTTGGCGTGAGTCCACGTTCTGCGCCCGATAAAAGATGATTTTTCCTTCGGGCTGACCACGAAACAGTCAACCGGAGGAAAAAGTCAGGTCAGAAGACAAGGTCCTCGAGGATGTAGGATATTCTGGCCTCCAAGAACAATGCTTGAGACAGAACCTGGTGAAATTTCCTGTGGCCAACAGACGGTTGAAGTCCTGGTCAGGGTTTCTCTACCGCCCTGACGATATTTCTCCTCGCTCGTTTGCTGTCGTGGCTGAGTTGGAATACAAGGAAGGCAAACGTGCCGAAGGAGAGCCATTCTGGGAGGCAATCGCGAAGCATGCCGAGGCCAACGAAGCTGGAACATACTCATATCTATGGTCGCGAGACAGGGAACTTGATCATGTATTGTGGTCGTTCGAACGCTACGAGAGTGAAGAATATCTCTGGAAAACACACGTGGAGGCGAATGAACTCGTGCAGCGCAGCTCCAAGCTTCAGAAGGACATCAGAGGCGCCACGAGGCACATGTGGCTCGAATGTCAATGCTGCCTGGTACAGAAGAAATATTACGAGGCCCATGCCATCCGCGAATAGTATTGGAATTGACCTCAGGCACGCAAGATTGGCTCAAATAGCTCGTCGAATACCTTCCCATGCATTCTTAATTAGTCTAGCCCGCAAGCCACGTTCAAAGGGTTTGAGTGGTGGCCCGTAGAGGGAAAAGGAGCTTGGCCGTTTGATATTGCATAAGGACTATTCCTGGAGCGACGGGCTCTCCAAAGAAAGGATCGAGTTGGTGAGAGTGGATCAATGAATGAACTGACTCATTCCAGGAGCCAAACCCATCCCATCCCACCCCAGCTTCACAGCTGTGGGCCCGGGGGCTTCCTGTCCGACTGGTGCCGTGGCTTGACTAAGCTCAAGGTTTACCTGACTTCGTTTCCAAAGGGACCCAGCCTTACGCGTTGCGGGTTCTCCGGTCAAAGGTAGGACTCGAAGTCTGGGCTCTCCGCACCCCGGGGGCCGTTGCACCTGAGTCAGCGCTGGGGTCCCCATGGTTCGCTCCACGCAACGGGCTGAAAAGTTCAGATCCTCGCTTAGAGTTAGGATCGATTGGGTGGAGACATATATAGAGGTCACAGCGAGGTGTTGGTGAGAACAAGTCGTTCTGCAAAAGCAATCTGCTTCCAACTCCTGTGACGCCTGCTCGAGTTCTCTGTTGACCCCCTGGCCGTCTGTGAACATGACGTCTACTCGACGACTGAAAGATGAGAAAATCGTGGGGCATCTCCTCGCCGAGGTCCGTTGCCATGTTGCCCGAAGAACGTGTGTTTTGTTCCTAAGATTACCGGTGTAGGTGATGCCGGAGGACAGGGGACGCTGGTGGACCATCCCTCACCTGAAACGACTGAATGGCCTGATTTTTATCCTCTTGCTCTCGGCCACGACGGCAGGCTTCGACGGTATGGAGCTCTGGGACCCCTTGGTTGGTGCGTCTTGTTTGCTGACCACCCGGTCTTTACAGGCTCCATGATGAACGGGTTACAATCGCTCCCCGTCTGGCGCAACTACTTTGGAAAACCCGTGGGCGTCCATCTCGGTCTCATCAATGCGATCTACCCCATCGGCGCTGTGGTGAGCTTGCCGATAACGTCCATCCTGTCGGACAAGTTTGGTCGAAAGTTCCCAATCTATTTTGGCCTGATTGGAATTCTTGTCGCATCGGCCCTGCAAGCCGCGACGCAGAATTATGCGATGCTGGTGGGTTGATCCCCAGATTCGCCTTCTCTGGAA